CAAGTTATTATTGTTTTAATGATAACACGTATCATTGATAACATATTATCACGTTGTCTTGAATATTTTTTCAAGCATATGGTCTTATACCTAACAAATTGTCGGCAACTTTCTCTTGCTGCAAGGTTAAAATATCTTACCTTGATGCTTTCTTCTCTCATAAAAGTGGAGATCAGATCCTATCGGGTCTGCCGAATAAGAATCATATTTTTTAGATCTAATTTATTGACATAATTAACTAATCTAATTCATTATAGGCTTTGAATTGATTGAGAACTCCATCAAGTATTAGAATTTAGTGTTAATCCAAACTACAATAAAATTGAACTATACCATTAGGTCAGTAGATTAGCCCAAATTTTTAGTTATAAATAGCATAATTCACCGAATAATAATGTGATGAAACTAGTTCATCAAATAATATTTTCTCCTTATAAAATGATGTAAACCACGTTTGTAGAATGATATTGTCAGCTAACATTTTTATTTCAAAAATAAAAGACCATTTATAAGAAATATCAACGTCACTTCATTCTATTTGACAATTCTTGATGACCATTTTGTTTGTGAAACATTTTCCTTTACTAAATACTTGGTTTATATCAGGCTTTGAAAGATCCATTTGAATCCTTGATGCTATCAAGCCAAAATGAGCTTTGAAGTGGCAATTTTTTTTTTAATTTCAACTGTTAATGATGAGCTTTGAACTCCTAACCTGTCATTAGTCATAAGCCGTCATAGCAGTATTCACCAATTATATACTACAACAGGTTTGACGCAATGTCACTATCTATATAAAGACACAACAAATTCAACTTTTGTAAGTTAAAGAATACAATGAATTGCTGAATTAGCTAGGGTTCCAACACCCACAAAAAGCATGTTCAAGAAGAGTCAATGTTAGTTTGAGGGGGTTGTTTTCAACTTCTAATGCTATCATTAGACTCAAGAACACTAATTAGTGGAGAACATGATAAGACATCCCAAAAGTAGAATAGAAATCTCCAATGCTAGGGTTCAAGTAACAATATATGAATCTATCCCAAAGGGTTTTTTTCTGATAACATGAACGGACATTTCAAAAGGTGAGAGGATCAAAAGTTGGTTAATGTTCGCTGAAAGTCTTAATCATACTCCCCCCGGTGCCCCATGGTATCACATAATATGGTTTACTCAAGCTATACCCAGAATGAGTTTTATCCTTTGGGTGGCCTTAAGAACCAGGCTTAGCAGTAAGGAGAGGACCCACCCCACCACTATGCTCCCCAATTGAGATTGGAGTGCTTACTCTGCAGAACTGTTTATGAATCACACCAACACTTATTCTTTGAATGTCAACGCTCCCACAACATTTGTTCTCACTTAATGCAGTTTAATGGAGAGTATTGACAACATTGCTCATGGTAGCAAGTACATGAATGGAAGGGCAAATCAGTGCCTAGAATCTTACAGAAGCTCAACCTCCAAGTGACTATGTACCAGATTTGGAAAGAAATAAATTATAGAGCCCACCAAACCGCATACTGTTGTTGCAATCCATCTGTTATTTGCACATTTTTAATATATTTTTTTATGTAATCTAGCTGAGAGTTGGTTATTAAAAAATTATTAGTGAGTAATTGGTGATAGGGTATTTTTTGGGTAGTTTTTTAGGTGGTTACTAAGTAATGTAGGAGGATTCGAGTAAGATAATCCCGAGTTATTAGATGACACGTTGATGGCGTTGAGATACCTTGAGTTAGTAGATCAGCGCAGAAATTCAAGTGCAAGAAAGGTTGACGTTGTTTTGATCATAACTTTTGATTTGTTTGGAGTTTTGGGGTCTATAATATATCAAATCGAAGTTCTCGACGAATCCTACAAGACTCACTACCTTTGGCTATGACTGACACTGTTAAAAGCCCAAAAAATACCAGAAAACATGTGTTTGGGCCCGTTCAAAGTTTTTTCCAATTTTTGGTTTATTTGAATTTTTTCGTAATTTACTTATTCCTTGCGTAATTAGAGTTTCCAGCTTATTGATTAGTATTTAAAGGTTGTTTTCATGTGTTTTAGGGAACTCTCATTATTCTGATAAAGATTGTGCCTGTTTAGTCAGTTTTTGGACAATTCTCTTGTATTCTTCTCTGTGAATTATCTGTAGAAACTAGCCTACAAAATAATCGTTATTCTATCCAGTGTCACTAAGATTGTGGAGTCATGGGTTAGGTTAATCATTAAGGTAGTTTTTGTTATCTTTAATTTAAAGGCTTTTTATCAGTTGAAATGATATGTTGAATATTGTGATAAATTTTTTTTGTAAAGTTTTAGAGAATCGATTTTTCTCGAATTAGATTACCGGAGGTTTCTATTCCCAGCGAAGTGGGTTTCTTTTCTCCAATTCTATTTTATGTTTGTTTTCTCAATTATTAAGATTGTGCACGTAACACCATCCTCAAGACCATAAAAAACTAAAGAACTGCTTCTTTAAAATTCAAGAATTCCCCCCGGAATCATAGACTTCTACAAGCATGGCAGCTACCAAACAACTGACTTCATGACCAAGAAGCTAAGTGGAAACTGCCTATTGCAATTTTGAAATGTTGTTTCTGCTCTGCTACTAAGTGTCTGCTATATTGCTAATCTGATCATATGCTCAATAACTTTATTTTAGAGTACAGGTCAGACGATGCAGACGCAACGCCATAGTTAGAGTCTGATTTATTTTCATAATCTAAACCTCATAATGACATTCTACACAAAACATTCATAAGGAAGGGTTGTAGACATTAAAAAAATTAACAAATTAAATAATATTTATTAGTTGACCCAAATCTAATAAGTTTCTAAATTAAATTGTTATGGACCTAAATTCCATAAGTCCAAATAAAACAAGTTTAAATCTAATTAAATTGATTTGAGTTGTACCTAAATTCCATGAGCCCAAATAATACAAGTTCAAATTTAATTAAATTGTTTGAACTTAAATTTCATAAGCCCAAATTAAAAAGATTTTTAAAGATAAATTGGATTTAACCTTAATTCCATAAATCAATTAAGCCCATAAAAGTAAATTAATTTGGGTGGCCCACTACCTAAGATCCATACAAGGGATTTAGGTAAAATACCTTTATATGGATAATTACTCCTAACACCGTAAATAATACTATAAATAAGGGCATGGAGAAGCCAAGAAGGAGGCCAAAGGAAAAAGAGCAATGCTATTGGGACCAAATTTACTGATATAATTTGTTGACTTAATTACCTATGATCTTTGGATTCACTATATATACCCCATCAAACATTAGAATTTGTTGTTGATCTAATGATTCCTATAAAGTTACATCATTATATCAGTAAATTAAATTATATTTTTAAGTCCAAATAGTGTTAGTTAAGGGAAAAGAAATGAGGAAAAGCCAAAGACGAAGAAAAATCGGTAAAACTCTACCCAAGTTCACTTTCAACCAAAATCTTGCATATTCATTTTCGAGAAGAAGATCACACCGCCATAAAACCCCTCCAACTCTGACCTTTTCTTCATGTACTTGTTCTCTTAATCCCTTCTTCACGTGTATGTGAAAATTTGAAGTCATTTGAAGTTTACAATTTGCTTTTAACTTTGGTGGAAGCTAAAATGGTTCATGTAAAGATCTAGATAGATATGACAGGAGAAACTAGAACAATGATTGAAGTATCATGCCATTATAATTATTGCTTCCAATGGAACGACGTTTGCCTGTTGAACTCCCCTCTTCGGGCTATCACAAGATTGCAATTGTTTTGGCCAATCTACTGTAGTTGAGTGCGGTTTCATATCTTTTCAGGTAGGAAGCACACAGGCACGATACAGATTTGACGATACAATTTTTTTTAAAAAGTAGGATAAGGGTATGACTAAAATATATTAATAAATATATATAAAATGATGGTATTATAATACCAGGGAGGTTAAGAGATAAAACACGTCTCAAACTAAAATAATTTATTTTGTTGACACAAGGACTACTTAATGGTGTTTTGAATCTAATGTTTTATGCAATTCTAAACTTGAACATGTGTCGCCGTCTGAGGGTTCTCACCTTTTCCTCGTCATTTATTTGGAATAGGATCAATGACTTTGACCATAAGCCATTAAAACTCATTATTCAGGCTACAAATTAAAAAGAATTGATAAATCTTGTGACATACGAGATGCGCGTCCAAATAAACATATTGGAGTAAGGAATCACTATTTGCATGATTCATGTTTTCAACACAATGCACTTCAATAAGTATAGGGCGAATGTATTTATCACAGAGATACATGTATTCAAGATATATCCAACAATGATAAATATTTTATTAATTATTTGATACGTGTATAAAAAATATCCGATACATATTCATAAATATCCGACAAGTATTGATATCTAATAAGTTTGAGATATGGATACCTCACCCTAATCTAAGCATCCGTGTTTCAGTCTAACAGATATTCAACTTTTATGTAATGTAAGATTCGCCGACTTCAAGTTTGACAGTCCCTTAAGATTAACATTGGAGATGTCAACGTTGCAAAGACCATAATGCCCTGAAAAGGAAAGGGAAAAAAATCTCTGTTCTGTTCTCTTCCAGATTCATAGGAAAAAAAAAGGTTGGACTTTCAAACTGCCCTGTGTGTGTTTTTCTCTAGGTTAAAAGGGAGACATGATCTTACCATGGTATATAATAGACATCTAATAGATACCTAAAGAGAATATCTTGTCAAAAAGAAAGGGCTAAAGGTTGATTTGGAGGTAAAAAACATTAGTTTCTACTGTCAATTATGGCCATAATCATAGCCAAAACAGTTGATTAGTATTGAATTTGGCCCAGTTCATCAGAATCAGTTTTGAATAAAAATTTTCACTCTCAAGAGTCATCATAGCAGCTTCTTGTTGCAGAGCAAGCATAAGATCGAATATATCTTATTTGTTTTGTGCTGGACAACTACAGGCCGAAAGTGAGACAGAAAAACTGAAGTGAAAAGTGGCAGCATCATGATGAAAAACAAATATTACCTGGAACACCAATGGGGATTCACTGCTTACCAATGGGGATTCACTACTTGTACTGGTTTTTTGTTTTGATGAACATCACAGAATTTTCACATGAATGAAAACTTTATTAACTTTCCGAAAAAAAAAAAAAATTTCTTGTGATTGGCTGTCCATTGATTGGGCTTGTTTAGACATCATACAGGTCAACAAAGGCTTCAATTTTGGGTGCTCTATGTGTGAAAAACTAGACAAAAAACTTATTAACATTCAGATGTGTGGGATGTACCCATCAAATTGGAACTAATGTTCTTCATCCAAAAACATTTTAGATGAATATCAGCACAAACTTGCCTAATCCTCCAGTCTAACTTATTGACAGTCTACTGTCTTCTATAAAACTGTTGTGTCACTCTTTTTTCATCCCCCATTACTACTAAAATATAGATCGACTAATTTATTTTAGTCAAAATTCTTCATATGCTCATTCATGTTGAACTTTATTCTTTGAAGTGAATTTGTTTGAGCTTTTCTAATGGACAGATAAGAATGAGAGCAGCATAAGGAACGAGGTAGCTGAATCTGTTCAACTAGACAATAACACAGTGGATGAGCAGAAACAGCAACCAGGTTCCTTACTGGACATCATACAAGTCAACAGAGCTGATTCCAAAATTGTTAGTGATGTGGCACAGAATGCAGCTCCTGCAGATATTGCTCATGGTGATGTAAATATGGAGGCTTCCATCAGAGCTGATGATGTTCTGCGGGCTGGAGGCTTTGGAGCTAGGGATGATATAAGCAGTTTTCTTCCAGTAGCAAGCGACTCCACCGATTTTGAAGCCTCTCTTCGTGATGCTCGGGATTATGAAGAGCCATGGGAAGAAATTTGCAGACCAGGCCTTGGCTGGATGGGAGCTACAAAGTAGAAGTCTGCTGGGCTCTATGAAGTAACAGTCTGCTGTGGGATCTAGTATGGTACTACTTTCTTCTTAACTTCAAGTCATGTTATTATCCGGAACTTTTGGATTTTTAATCTATGGAGGGTCAGTTGAATTAATTGAGCAATTTCAAATGTTAGTTCTGACTGGGATGCACTTGAAAAATACTCTTTGAGGCAATCATTATTCTTGTTTATTTGTACGAGTTGATTTTTGTTTAACGTAATTGAAATGCCTTCATTTTTGGGTGAGTATTTTTATTATTTCCAAATAAGTGCATATAAAAACCACACAGCATAAAAGTTGCTGTTTCTTGTTTTTTTTTCCATCTTCTTGAAAACTCGAGGAAATACAAAAATTAGATAAAATTATTTACATATCTAAGCATTATGGCTTTTGATCTGTGTTACTGGAGAGCTCTGTATGCTCTGTTGTTTATTCCGCAGGCCATTATCACTGAGACACCTTGCCTTTTTTGAAAATTCTTTGGCCAGGAGCTAGGATTGCTAGAGGGTCATAGGTGAATTTCCTCCGAAGGAAGACTTCCCATTTAGAGCCGAAATGGATTTTCCACTCTTCCTGTGTAAGGTAATGGGGCAAGTATTGCTTCATTCCGAGATTGGCCGATTTGCAAAAATCCAGAATTCTTTTGTTTTGGCTGAAGATGTATTCTAAGCCATCTGTCCCTGTGGAACCTGGCATTGCAGAGGATAGGAACGCGACTAGGTATAGAACATCTTCCTCTGGGGTGATCATAGAAGTCCTGTTGTTCCACCTGCAGTACAAAATTGATTGGAATTCAGGTTGTGAACACCATATGTGCTATAGAAATCTGATTGAGTTAGTGACTTTGTACTTGGATTTGTTAACTGGGTAGATCAATATAGGACCATTGCTAGTGTCTGTGATAATATTTCCAAAAACTTCCTGGGCAAATTCATGTATTCTACTTCTGGGAATGATCAGATTCAGCCATGGATGAGGAAGATCCCACAACCCCTTTTCTTGGAGTTTTAACATAGAAACATGCACTCTATCCAGGAATTCGACATATGAGACTTCTGATAGGAAGAGTGTGGACTCAATGTAGCTCAATTCAGACAGCAAGCCGTCAACTTTCTGCATAAATAGAAAGACACAGGTCAAGATGTGGTCACTGATTTTTTTGATCAAATTACCCCTTTTATGTAAGTTGGTCCTTTTTTTCAATAAAAAATCTTGAAAATGTTGTTTGCAAACACGATTTCCCTTATAAAGCTTGGATTCAAACAGCACTTCTATGTAAACACTGCTAGATTAGGAAATCGGTTAGAAATCTGGGTACACATGGAATAGAGTGAGGATTGTGCAAAGGTATTGGGAACATGATTTGGGTGGAGAGTAAGTTTCACCTGGTTCATGAAATCAATCTCTTGAGGGTTGAAGTATTTGGCCATTTCTAGACAGAATAGAGTTTTTCCATCAGAAATGAACTGGCTGGCTTGAACTGGGTCTTTTGGATTGAAAGTGGATCTCCAGCTATTTACTAAATCAGTTCTGTTTATGATGACAAATCCTTCTATGTAGTCAAAAGCTTTCTGGGATGATATGAGATGCTCTTGGTCCTGGGTAAATATGGAAAAATCCGAGTAGAGCACTCTAATCCACTTCACCTGTCAAAAGAAAGTGAAAAGATAGATTACAACATTATTCTTGTGGTACTTGGATTCTATTATTTTGGGCCCCGGGAGGGGGGTTGGCTGGGATAGGTCGTTACGGTGACTGGTGGTGGTGGTGGTGGTTTATCACCAATAAACAGATTGTTAAGTTGCTTTACCATTATAGGTGCAGGTTCCAGGGAAATTCTAGCCCTGGTGATGATGCCAAACTGTCCCAGTCCTCCAAGAACACCGTAGAAAAGGTCAGTATTCTGCGTCTCTGAACAGGTGACCACCTCTCCTGTTCCTGCACTTACAATTCGTGTCAGACATAGAGTTAATGAAAGGATCGATACAACCCGGTTATATACAAGGACCTAATAGCTTTTCTTATATACAATTACGTGTAACTCATACATAACTGTGGTGATGCTGCAATAGCCTACATGAAATCATAAGATTTTAGTTATCTAAAAATATAATTTGTGTGTTCATGGAAAGGATAAATTAGAAGAAAATAAAGATATGACTTAATAGTATAAAGATAAATACGATAAAATTTAAAAATTTTTTATGAAGAAAAATAAGATTTCTTGATGATTTGCTTGGACTAAAATTGACTCCTCCATCCCATATAACACGACATAAACAGGACCACCCGTATACCTGTGACCACCTCTAGTTGGTAGACGTTATTGATCTGAGGTCCATGCCGGAATGCCTGCCCACTGACTCCGGCGTTCGACAACGTCCCTCCAACCGTGAGATGAAGATAATCTGTCCAAGACTTTGGAGACAGCCCATGTTTAAGACTCTCATTCAGAATATTTATCCAAAGTTCACCGCCGGAAACGTCCACATATGGCAGCTCTCCGGTGTAAAACTGCATTTCCGGTCCCCGGAGCGATTTCATATCGATCACGATCCCGTGATATGCCTGTGCTTGACCTTTAAGAGAGTGGCCATTGCCTCTTGCTGCAACTGTGAGCCCTGAGGTGGTGCCCATTTCGTTAATATTTATTATTATGGTGGAAATATCAGAAACTGTTTCTGGGTAGAGAATTGCAGAGGGAAGGAAGTGGTATATATTGCCGAAGTCCTTGGCTGCTTCGTGAATGTTTTCAAAGCTGAGATTGTCATTGAGGATCAAGGGCTTTTGTGAAAATTGAATGTTTGAGGAAGATGATGAGCGAGGAAAGATTGTAGGTTTGGCCAAAGGGTGGTGGGCAGAACAAGTCGATAGTAATACGACAATGAGAAATATGAGGATCATGTGGTTTTGTTTCAGCAAATTTTGGGGCGGTGTCTTCATTTCCTTTTTCTTTTTTTATTCCTTTGATGGTGTGTTTTGATACAAACCCACATACAACCACATGCACATAGAGAGAGAGAGAATGGCTCTGTTGTTTTTTTGTGTGAAACAAAAAGAAAAATCTGGATGTTGAGGAGGCTAAGGAAGCGAAGGGAGGGGAGAATATATAAAGGATGGTTAGGTGCATGCACAAAACTCAAGTTTTTGCATAATGGGTTTCAGTCTCAAGATCATATTTTTGTATTACATTGAAAGAGTCTGTAACCCCCAGGGTCAAAAGGATTGTCAATATTCGTATTCAAAATATTTAAATTTGTAATTTATTTCTCTTACCATTTGAACTACATTTGATGTTAGACACCATCTTTAAATCCAACGCAAAATTTGACACAAAAGGGTAATAGTGTGGCACGTTAGTGGATCAAATATGGATCAATTGACAAGTCGATATAAATACAGTTAAATACGATATAAAACCACACAAAACATATATGATATAAACATGCTAAAAACGTTTTATATATACCACATATATTTTATACAAATTTGACTATAAACAAATTGGGAATGATTTAGAGCAAATTTGAGTTTGATACGGTATGACAAAACCATTGACAAGTATAAATTTTTATGATAAAAGATTGTCATTAGCCCAGTTGACTATACAGTCAATCTATCTACTTCCCTTGTGCCCTTATTCATGTTTTTGCCATTTTGCAAAGATACCAGAGTCCGTTTTCGGCATCAAAATCTGTGTTTACATGTTAGTGACATTTACTGTCCAGCAGAACTTCCATTTATGTGTCATATGCACTGTATTCTATAGCGTCGTAGATTCAAGTTCTTATTGAAGAGTGATTGTTGGAGGAGGCCCCTACCAAGTCTCAAATTAGTGGTCCTGCTGGACCACAGAGAGTTGGATAACACTGTGCTATTGAAAAAAAAATTCAATATTCTATTGAAAAATGATCGATGATCTTGATTTAAGTTATTTGTTATCGTTGGTCAATAACATAATAGAAATTTTCTACATGTCATCTTGTAATTAGATAAAAATATGAATTATGATACTGAAAAATTATTTTTGTATACCTGTGACCCAGAAGAGTTTGTCTTCAGATTATGGAATTTAAGTTTGATAATTGAACTTGGGTTCGGCTCAGATAAAATTCGATGAGTTTGAATAATTTTTTAAGCCCGTTTTCTCGTGTTGAGATAACTAAACTATGTTCCTGATTTTATCTGGGTATGGTTGGTAGAATGCCGCGAGGTGTACTACAGGTAGCTGGAATAATGGGCCCTCTTGGACATGTGAATATGTTGACTTTGTGGCTTGAGGTTTCAGAAACACCATCTACTTGTCTGGATTGAAAACAAATGATGAAATCATGAGCTTTCAATGAAATCTAAGTTCAGGGATACATGTGATGAGAGTTAAAAAGTGCATATTTAGTGTACGAGACTAATGTTTACAATGGGGTTGGAGTAGGATGTACTTAGTCATTAGGTATGCTAGGCACCGGCTTAGGACCCCGTTCGAAAGGTAGTCTCAATACATCATATGCTGTCCATGGTATTTCTCTTATAATGTAGATAGATCAGTGCACATAATCACCACTAGTATTAATATAATTGTTCTTTTGAAGCTTCATAGTCTTTAAGGTTGAAAGTTGAAGGATTGTCCACTTTGATTAGAAACAGTTCCAAATAGATGTGAGATGTGATAATTTCACTTGAGCATGCATTTGAAAGATGGTTCCTTTGCTTGGGCTCCCATTTGAAAACTGCTTTATTACCAATAGTTTTGCATCTTAAAAAATGAAGAACAATGATTTTAAAATAAAATTATACTTGTATTATTATATACTTCTATCAAGTTTTGGAAGGTTCCTGCTTTTAAGACTTACACCTACGTCTACGACTGTAAGTTTTTATCGAGTTGTCCTTGTGTGTTTAAGAGAAATAAGTGATAAATAGTTTTCTCGCTTTTGAAGATACAAAGTTTTTTTTTAAGGAGTAAGATGTAAAGTTTACCGGAT